ACTTCCATATATCAAAAGTAAATGGTCTCATTGTATATATTTCAATATAATATTATGATTTGTAACCACTGTTAAAATTAAATACTTAACCATAAGAATATAAAATATTATTGATCAATGATATTATGTAGTTGCCATCCATCGATATAATGTTAGGGTGATTTTAAGATGAAATATGTGAAGAATACATGATAAACTCAAAAGTACTTCAATAATCATTATGTCAAGGTATATATTTGTAAATAGAGATTTATTTTATTTATTAGTATCAAATAGTTCCAAGATATCTGTAGATGCCTTGTTAATTGCACTTACTGTCTTATACAATGGAAATGTGAAAAACCTTTATTTAATCAATCTTAGATGAATCCGTTGAGAGAAGAAGTCTAAAGAGTTAGCAAGTAAGTCTTGTTGTTGCAGCTACTTGAATGAACTCATTCATACAATGACAATTGTGGCTTGAACTACTTATAATTCAGCTACTATTTGTTGATAATTTTTGCAGCTACTATTCTCTGAATGTCTCATTTTTCCTTCATTTTTGGCTTGAACTATTTAATAGTTCTCGACTGTACCCGACAGTTGTGATATAGTACGTATAGTGGTCCTTGTGTCTTACTCTAATGATGACACATGGTTCTGCACGCTTATTTGTGGGTTCTAGAGTCTTCATCACTTTTTATTTTTTGACAAATATTACTATCTTTATTAATACTAAAGAAATAAAAGTACATCATTAGCAACAACAAGAGAAGGTAAAAAAACACCACCCTTTGCCAAATCATTCGCCACATAATTAGCTTCATAGTAAACATCAGAGAAGGAAACTGTCGAGGAGGAAGACAAATCCATAATCCGCAAGCATAAAGGCCGTAGTTCCCATGGAATACATTATTCCTTATTGTACCACTTTATCACATTCAGCGAGTCACCTTCTATAGAAACATTACTGCCACATTTTTTATCAATGATGATCTTTAAGCCATAGAAAAGAGTGCTAAGATCAGTAAAATTTGTAGTTCCACAACCTAAAGGGCCCGTATAGGAAAAAATGATGTTACCGGAACAGTCACGTAATACTCCACTAAAACCTGCTAGCCCAGGATTACCCAAAAAACTGCCATCAAAATTAAGTTTCAAAATACCAATAGGGAGGCGCTATCCAAATGCATTTCGGTCTACTACTTACAGTACCCAAAAGGAATAGGTTATATAAATTAGCCATCACATCAACCTTTGAAATATCCCAACCCTCTTTTAGCATAGATAGCTAGGACTAGATTGTAACTTTAATATAGTGAATCAGTCTGTCAAAGGATAAGAAACCCCTTCAAAGATCTTTTTATTTCTTTCTTTCCAAACTTCCCATAATATAACTCATTTAGTTATCTGCCAAACAATCTTGCCAGCCTTTTGCATATGAGGTAAAGACAATTGAGTAACAATTCCCTCCACATGTTGAGGAAGAGCCAAATTTATATTTAGCACACCAAACAACCAATACCAAATACGTACTGTGAAAGGACAATGAATGAGAAGATGCGCAACAGACTCATCATCAGATTTACACAGTATGCATATATTAGGTAAAATCTTGTTTCTTTTGATCAAATTGTCACTAGTCAGAATCTTGTTCATTTCAGCCAGCCAAATAAAGACCTGAACCTTGTAAGGTATCAGCATCTCCATACTTGAGCAATATGGGGACAGGACCATCTCCACCGATCATGAAATAGGAGATTACAACATGACTTGACAGAGAAAACACCGTCACTTTCAATCTCGCATACCATTTCATCATCTGCATTCGGCGAAATGTAGAATTTATCCAAAAGTTCCATCAACACACACCATTGAGAAAGTAAGATGTTATTCAACCGATTATATCCCAAAAAAATATTTCAAGATATATTATCACCCCTTATATCAACCACCTCACTAACTTTCATATTTGGCCTAGTAACTATCCCAAACAACTCGGGGAAAAGTGACTAAGATTGTACTCCCCCACCCACTTATGATGTTAGAATGAAACATTGTTACCACAACCTATATTTCCATCTAAAGTAACTTGAAATCATAAGCCTACAATTAGCAATAGTCCTCCACATCGGAGAGGTCTCATTTCCTCTGCCCCCACCTAGCCAGATCTCAAATCTGCCCAAACCATACTTAGAGACAAGGGCTTGGTACCATAAATGATCTTTTAAATGAAGATTGTGCTACCACCACTTATATAAGAGAGTTTGATTGGCAAGTTTGATACTTCTAATCCCTTCTTGAATGTGTATTGTGTCATCTTTATCTTGACAAGTTATTCTAGAATGATGTAGTAACTTCTGTCACAAGTGACTTGGATGAAAGACCTTATTCTTTCCACAAGTTTAGCGTATGTAATTTTTCAGAATGTGTTCACAAATTTTCGGACCTTTAGGTTTTAGAAGATCTGAGTAAAAATGTAGGGGTATCTTATCAATAATAATTTTTGAGAGTAGATAATAAAAAATGTATGCATTGAATAGTGTGAAGTAGAATAAAGTTGTTTTCGTGTTCACCAGATGATTGGCGGAACGAGAAATCGATTCATTGGAGAGCCTTGTAATTAGTGAAAATTCACCAGAGAGACTTATAATAGTACAAATCAAGGTCAATACAGATTTTGCAATTATATTCGAACTAGGGGTCATATATAAGACGTTGTCCCCGGTGCTTTATGAATGCACCACAGTATTTTCTCAAAATGTCTTAACACTTTAGTCCAGATGCGTAGAATCCATCATGCGTAATTTGAAGAACAGTATAAGAGGTAAGACTTTCTCAAAGATATATTAGGACAAAATTAGGGTAAGTCAAAATTATACCCAAACATACAACCATATAATTTTTGTTATATAATAAAAAAGAAATAGCATATATTTATAATTTTAATTATTAATGTACAGGTGCCATAAAATTACTGTAGTTATAAAGAATAAGTCATAATTATAATAAATATTAGTCTGCTAAATAGGTTTATATATAATTTGAACAAAAAATTAAGATAAAAATCCATTTTATTTTTTTGGAACTAGAAAACTATCCCATAATTTTTGTAGTTTATGCTCAAGTCCATTTCTTTCTTCAGATTTTATTTTCTTTATTTATTGGGTTTGACACTTGAAGTGGTATGGAGCCCATATGACCCTCCAAATTTTGTTGTGAGTGCGGAATTCATATCTTGTCATTGCGATTCGTTAAAGTCAATGCTTAAAAGGTGCAGTTTGTACAGCACCAAGGCTCTAAACAATCAAAGTAAAACGTACCTTTAAATAGTGCCAAGAAATATGGTTTCAACATGATAGCCTTAAAATATTTTTTTATTTTTAATTATAAAATTTAAAGCATAAAAATAATATAGATTGAGCAAATATATGAAAACTTGAAAATCTTGAAAATTGACTGTCAAAAAATGTGTTACAAGATGCATTATTTTCAAAACTAAAAATCTAGTTTTTTTCTCATGTCTATGTATTTGGATGTGGAAATGATCAATTTGAGGATATTTGGGCATCAAAACAACCACTTCTAGTGAAATTTTTGATGTAAGCTCTCATTTGATTGCATAAAGCCTCGGCTTTGTATAAACTTTTTCCACGCGACCCTTCAATTTAAGAGGTTGCGATCCCTTAAATTAAAGGACTATTTAAACTTTGTTAGTTAAAAATACCACAACCCTTAAGAGGTTAATAATGGGGTTCAACACTTGAAAACCAGACCCATATTTTACTTGAAAAAAAAACAAAAATAGTTTTGGCGAAGGAGGCAATTTCAGAAAAATAAAATAAAAATTCCAATGAGAAAAAGGGGCTTAGGCATAAATCCAATGAGAAAAAGGGGCTTAGGCATAACATACAAAAATTACGGGGTCATTTTTTAATCTTGAAAATAAAGACGATTTTTATATTAATTTCTCTAATATGAATTACATTTAAGCATGAATATATCAGTAGTACAATATTAATATTAATACTACAATAATTATGTAAATGATATTCATTATAATAATAAATTATAATTATTATATAAATTTTATATAACTAATTACACCATATATACAATACACTAATAGTGAACTTAAAATTGTCAATTTTGAAAAGTTTAACAACAAAATGCCCTTACATATGCAAAACTTGTTTTAATGATAATGTGTTAAAATTCCCAAAAAAGGCATATTTATATTTTAAAATTTAATTATCCTTCTAAAGTCAAAGAATCTATTTAAATTTGAAATTGAGTTTTAGCAAGGATTTTGAAAGGATAAAAATATCATTTCTAAAATAAATGAATTATTTTAAAAAAAATATACAAAGAGACCATTTACTTTAAAACAAGATAGTCACAACCACTCTTGGCCATCAGATTTCAAATTAAATAGTTGTAAGAGTGTCATTGACTAAAGTTCAAAAACAAAATTTCTCGACCTGCATGGCATATCCCAAATTATTCAATTTGACATCTAATGAGAAGTAATTGTCACCACCTTATAACAAAGATAAATAGTCTTATAGTATACAATCCCATTATTTATAATCAAAATGTCATTTTTTTAACATATAAACAAATTTCGAAGTAGTGATTTCTAAGTTCACTATTAGTGTAGTGGATATTAAAATCTCAAATTGAAAAGCTCCTCCCTAGTAGCTCTTTTTTCTTAGAAAATGTCCATTATATGCTCCTAGGGGGGATAAAATATGATCTCAAGGTTAAATAAATATATATTTTTCTTATATGTACAGCCCCAGAATGCATTACACTGGACATATCCCCATGAATGTGATAAAATTCTAGGAGTATTTTGAGTTTTAGTATCCACAAAATTTGTGCACCTCAAAATTCTCTGAGAGTGAATTTTACCCGAGGGAGTTGTATAGAAAATATGCTTCCATGGGAACATAAATCTTAACCAATCAACCATACGGGATCATTATATCATGACAAGCTAGACCAAGAGCTGTTGCATCTGTTATGATCACGGTTTATCGAATCTTGCTTGTTTGTTTACAGGCACCACTGTCTAATTTCACAAGCTTTTCACAGACCATCTCCAAATCAATGGAGAGCATGTTAGTAGAACTAGACCTGATACCGGTTCAAGAAAACTTTAACATTATGATGAGGCCTTGCACATTGAACAAACAAGTCCTCTCTTTTCGACCAATACAAGGAGAAGTCACAGCCACAGTTACCACCAACCCTTTAAGACTTTATGTACAATAATAAAGAAAACTGTTGCTAAAAAAATAAGCTCGTTTTGAAGGAGCTAGCACTGTACAAGCAGAGTTCTTCAAAGTAATTATACCTATACCTATCTCTACACAATTATTTTTCATAATATATGCAAACCCCAATTCTGAGATTTTGAGAGAGAGCGAGAGAAAGAGAGTACCATAGCTAAGCAAATCCAAAGCTCTGTGCTATGTGCTCTTGAGAGATGGCAAGAATACGATCACGCATAATCTTTAATGAGGGATAAATTGGAAGACAGAGTTGATAAAAGCAAGTATGTGAAGTGGGTAACCAATTTGGGCCGTGATGACTCTTGCATATTTGCAGATTGCCCGGCAAACCTGGGAATCCTTCGAGGGGCAACTGATGAGTTGAGGTCCAAAAGCATAGAAGCATCTTTTGCTCTCTCACCGACATGCCTTCAACCACCTGCACAGTAATCCAAGAGCAAACTCTATGAACAACCCACATTTGAACTAAAAATATCAGCTTTATCTTTAGCACTATAGCCATTGGCAAGTGAATGATGTTGACACTGATAAAACAAAAGGAAAAAAAAAGAAAAACCACTGAATGATAGTGATTTTAACAGAGTGGGTGGCTCATTCAACCATCTTCAAATTAGTTAGAAACTAAATACTTCTGAGTGTTGTGTTTAAAGTACTAGATCCAAATAATATCCACAAATATATTACATTAACAGAAGCACCAGGTTTGGATGTTTCAATTTAAAATTGGTAAAATCCCACAGAACAGAGGGAATTTTCCTAAAGCCTTGCTAGTTTTATTGATAAGAGGAAAAGAAGTGCCCAGTTGCATGCATATTTGCGAAACACAACTTTCACACCAACTAAATTAATGACGAGTAAAAAATACAGTAGTTGACAGGCCATTATTATCTCTGAATCAGGATAACATAATTTACTGTGCTATATATTACACAAATTTACCATACAGTTATGCAAGCTTAGAATCACAACAACCACGATTGATGTATCTCATAAAGAAAATGTTAAAACTCCCAACCCTATACTTCAAAGGGAGGACTGCCACTTGAACAACCCTCATTTTACCATGCACCAAGTAAAACAGGGAATTACTTCACTCCACCTTAAATCCTAGGGAAACCCAAAGAAAAATAGCAATTTCCACTTTGCAAATGCATTCACCACCACCTAAAATACAGACTTCCATTGGTGGATAAATTGTAGGGTTGAATGTGGCTCCACCAATTTCATCTCCCCTCCCTCTTGATTCTCCATATTTCTGTCCCCATGAATGCATCATCTTTCCTCTCTCCATCCATCATCACTTAGTTCCCTGCAAAATCCAAATTGCTCCTGTCTCAAATTGAAGACCATTCACCAAGCCTCTAAACAAAGGGTCCCTTTATTTCCAGCCTCCTGCTTCTCCATGAATGAGATGAAAAAATGTGGACAAATTGGATTAAAGTTCCTTACCAAGACAGTGAAAAGACTTGCTTTGTACGAAGATAATTTCCATCAAAATAGTAATCCACACTCTTTCTTCCTCTCTCAATACTTTCAATCACAATATTTTCCCTTCTTCAACATCCACTGCATTATTCAATGTCCTACTAACATCTCCCTTCTGACATTGCCTTAAGAGCCCCAGCTTCACCCTTCCACCTTTGCTCATTGCTTATCACCACCAAACTATAACCATATCTCTCACCAAGAAATATCAGTTTCCACTTGGCCCCTTTAGCAAGTCTTCCTTCTCATTACTACTAGTCATCACCAACACAATGCTAGTAACTTCAACCAGTGTTTTAAAATGCGGCCGCATCGCCGCATATGCGGGCGCATCATGCGGGATGCGCTCGCATCCGCATTGCGAACTGGTGCAGACGTGCTTTTGACAGATGCGGCCGCATCATGGCGGCATCTGTTTCCAAGGAATAAATTATCTATTTTGCCCCTCGGGGAGGGGCAAAATGGTCTTTTTTAACTTCCAAAGTTTAGGGAAACTGTTTCGGGGGTTATTATACCCCCTCAACGAAGATTTCCAGCTACTTTTGTGGCTTTTTTTGCATCAAATCGAGGGAAAAAAAAAATTTGTCGAAAATTTTTTTTTCATCCAAATCTTTGATTTGGCGATTGTTTGATACTTGGATGTTCATTTGATGCTTTTGATTGTTGATTTGGGGATGTTAGGGTGAATTTGTGATAAGAAATTGGGGATTTCAGAGGCCGTGAAGAAATCGAGCACTACTTCACAGAGTTGGTAACTTTTTATTCCTTCTTATACAATAATACTGTTATACTTATTTTTGGGGCAATGTCTTCTTCCCAATATTCTAGTAACAACGATCAGGCTTGAAAATATGCTAAACTAAAAAATCCGAAAGATAAAAATTGTGTGATATGCTTGCTCTGTGGAAATATTTATACGGGTGGTATTTTTTGACAAAAAGAGCATTTGGCCGGAATTTCTGGGAATGTAAGAGCATGCCCATAAGGTACAGATGATATAAAAAAGGAGATTAGAGAATATCTGGATAGATTGAAAAAAGATAAAGAAAAAAAAAAAAAAAGAATTACTTGATGATATGCAATTATTTGATGATGATGATGATGATATGTCTGAAGTTGCTATGAGGCAAAGGGGTACTCATACTCCAACCTCAAGAGAGAGAGTTATAAATATTGGTGGTAGTGCTGAAAGAAGAACACCTCTCTCTAAGGGGCCAATGGATTCTTTTTTCACCCCTTGCCCCGAAATTGTTGTTCAGGAGAGAGAAAAAAACAAAACAAACCACAATTGACAAAAGAAGTCGGTATGTAAGTGGATTTACAATACCGGCATTCCTTTTAATACAATAACTCTGAATAGTTTTGCATGTATGGTCCAAGCAATTGGGCAATATGGCCCAGGATTTATTCCTCCTTCACTACATGAGGTTAGGGAGCCCTTGTTGAAGGATGTTGTATTTGATGTGAATAAAATTTAGATTTCTCAGAGAGAAGGGTGAAAGAAATATGGGGCCACTATTATGTGTGATGGTTGGTCCGATGGGAAATCAAGGGCATTCATTAATTTTTTGGTTAACTGCCCAACAGGTATTGTTTTTGTTAAGTCTATTGATGCATCAGACAAGTCACATGATAGTACATACTTATGTGGCTTGATGGATGAGATTGTTGATTTTGTTGGGGAGAAAAATGTAGTACAAATTATCACTGACAATGGTGCCAACTATGCTGCAACTGGCCATTTTTTACTTTGAAAAGGAAGCATATGTTTTGGACTCCTTGTGCAGCTCACTATGTTAATCTTATGCTTAAGGAAATGGGTACAACATCTTTATTTAGTGGGGTGATTTCAAGAGCTATGTTTGTTGTTGGATTTATTTACAATCACACCGTAGTCCTAAGCATAATGAGGTCTTTTACAAAGAAGAGAAAATTAGTGAGACCGGGTATCACTAGATTTGCCACGTCATTTCTGACCCGAAGCCTAGCCAAGCAAAAAAGTGCCTTGAGGACCATGTTTGTTTCAGAGTAATGGAGTCAAAGCAAATGGTCAAAGCATAAGGATGGGAGAAAGGCTGAAAAAATTATTCTGAATACATCTTTTTGAAGTCAAATAATTATTGCATTGGAGGTGGCTCGCCCTTTAGGGAGAGCGCTTCGACTGGTTGATGGTGGTGCGAAGCCCGCCATGGGCTACATACATGAGGCAATGACTAGGGCAAGAACTGAAATAAAAGATGTTTTAAAGGATGATGAAAATATGCGCAAGGTTATACTTGAAATTATTGATAGGAGATGGGATACCCAGCTTTACAGGCACCTCCATTCAGCCGGTTATTTTCTAAACCCATCTCTTCACTACAAGCACCTATCCATTGAGTCAGATCGTGTAATAAATGGTGGGTTCTTAGATGTGCTGGAGAGGTTGGTACCAGACAAAGATATCCAGGATGAGATCCAGAGCCATGAATTGATTAAGTTCAAGTTAGCCTTGGGAAACTTTGGGAGAGATATTGCCACTCGAAAAAGGGACACTACAGATTCAGGTAAAAGCCAAAAGCCCAAAAATAATCTTACTTGTCTTTTACTTTATGTATAGTTCTTTTTGTTTATTTTATACCCTTAATTTTTAACTATATTC